TACAGCATTGCTATATGATTTATATATTGCCAACCCAACCATTAGATTATATTCCTAACACTACCTCCCACCTTGGGAGTAGCAGCCAGGGGTTCCCACCAGAGCGGTGGCTGTACCCCATGTTCCCTCCCCACTAACACAGCTGCCCCTTCCAAATATCTCACCTGGGCAGGGCTGGGAGTTGCAGTGTGCAGCACCTTCCATGGACTCAGCCATGCATGGTGCTCCATGGAGGTTCTCGTGGCAGGACCGATGCCTCAGAGTGGTGCCCCCTCCACATGTGGCCGAGCAAGGGCTCCATGCCGACCACTCACCATAAGACGGGCACTTCTCCTCCGGGCAGGAGAAGGAACCATTCTGGCAGGTGCTGGAGGGACAAAAACCAGGTGCCAAAGACGCAGTGTGCCACGAAGGAGCCTTAATTCCCCCGAGCAGAAAACCTGGGCTGCTTTTTGTCACACAATTAAGCATGGATTGTGTGCTTATGATATGCGCTGGTTTTAGCACACAAAAACTGGAGCTCCTGCCCTCCTTAACCAGGGTAGATCCCCCCCCCCATTTTTCAGCACACCAAATTTGCCACTAGAGCAAAACAGAATAATGGAATGACAGAACAGCAGAATAACAAAATAACAGAGTAATAGAGTAACGAAAGAAGAGAATAACCAAATGACAGAACAACAGAACAGCAGAATAACAGACTGACCGAATAGCAAAATAACAGAATAAGAAATAACATAAAACAGAATAACAAAACAACAGAACAACAGAAGGGCAGAGCAAGAGAACAGCAGAATAAGAATGACAGAATAAGAAATAACAGAATAACAAAACAGGATAACAAAATAACAGAGTAACCGAACAACAGAAGAGCAGAGCAACAGAACAGCAGAATAACAGTATGACAGAATAAGAGATATCATCATAACAAAACACAATGACAGAATAACAGAATTGCAGAATAACTAAATAAGAGAACAACAGAATAACAAAATGACAAAATAATAGAACAACAGAAGAGCAGAGCAACAAAACAGTAGAATGACAGAATAACAGAAAAAGAAAATACAGAATAACAGAACTACAAAATTATAGAATAATTGAATAGCAATAGCACTTAGGTTTATATACCACTTCATAGTGCTTTTATAGCCCTATCTAAGCAGTTTACAAAGTCAGCCTATGCCCCCCTAACAATCTGGCTCCTCATTTGACCCACCTCAGAAGGAGGGAAGGCTGAGTCAACCTTGAGCCAGTGAGAATCGAACTGCTGAACTGCAGCTAGCAGTCAGCTCAAGTAGCCTGCAGTACTGCACTCTAACCACTGCGCCCCTTCGGCGCCACCCCAGAATAACAAAATAGAAGAATGACAGAAGAAATAACACACAATGAGAAAACAGAATAACAGAACTAGAGAATGACAAAATAACAGAATAGCAGAATAACAAGATTACAGAATAACAGAACAACTGAAGAGAAGAGCAATAGAACAGCAGAATAACAATAACAGAACGACAGAGTAAGGCATATCGTCAGAACAAAACAGAATAACAGAATGACAGAATAAGAAATAATAACA